TGAGCCTGTTCAGTGGTGGGACAAACAATTTACTGTTGGCACCGGTATTACAACAACCCTGCCATCGCATTACTGAGAAACAAGTGCTTCCTTCTTTGTTATGCTTCCATGAAAATGCTTAAAATCTGAAGTGTTTTTTTTTGCTTTCTGGCTGCTTTTTAGTCCAGTTTAACCCTTAAATAATAAAACACAGATCACGTTGCTTTCTGTCTAAAAAAAAAAAAGGCTTTAAACTTTACAGATCGGTTTCATAAAATCATTTTTGCAGCACGTTGCGGTTGATGGCTTCCTGCTAAACTCTGTGAGTTTCTTTGGCTCCGGTCGCAGCCAGTGACCTCTGCTTTTTAAAGCATGTTTGACAAATGCACGGCCTGTGATGTGGCTTCGTGTTGACAAGACTTCTGCTCCAGCTCACAGACTCTAATTTAGCTCGGTGCAAAGCCGCACTCACATCTGAATAAAACACATGCGTAAGGTTACAAATGCAGCGCAGCTCGCAAACACCGAAGTATGAGCGGTCTGTGTTGTCCTACCGAGAATCAGTTCTATTGTGTCTGAGGGGCAGGTAGTGTGTCTGCGATAGCCTCACTCAGAGGGTGAACGTCACGCCCCCCTGGGGTCTGCAGGAATTACAGGCAAAGAAAAGAAAATTAAAAAGACGACTTAAAAGACAGGAAGACTCGGATGACGCCATCCTCGTCTTCCTGCCGCGAGTTCTGGAAACGAGGAGACAAAAAAAAAAAAGAAGAAAAAATTAAAAAGCAGGGAAGAGGAGGAGGAGAAAAGAAAGGGAGGCAGCTGAGAGGGGGGAGGAAGTGTGAAGAGGGGATGGTGGAAAGACAAGAGTGAGGAGAAAGAGAGGGAGAGAGGGAAATGAAAAGAAAGAGGCCATTAATTTAGTGCTGTGGGAGGGATCTGAAGGTTACTGAGCTCTCTCTGCCAGGCCCTCCTGGGTTGACTGATGCCTTTGTGAGGAGGCCAGGAACCACACACACACACACACACACACACACACACACACACACACACACACACACACACACATGCGCGCTCCAAGAAAGTTTGGGTTTGTTGCGGCAGGCCAGTTTCGGCAAAATACACACACGCAGACACACACAGATGGTCATTAATGAGCTTCAAAGTGAGAGCTAAATGGGAAACCTTTATTTATTTCCTCTCCTGGTCATGCTACGCTGTGATGCGCCCGAAGATGTGGTGTGTTTTTTTTTTTTTTTTTTTTTCTACTGCGGTCAGAAATCAGAGCGATGTGTGGACCGTGCGAATGTCTCGCCGTGTGTGTTATTTTGGGACGCCGGTTGTTTGTGAGCGCACAGATGTACACATATTAAAAGGACAGTAAGCGGTCGGTGCGTTTTGACGTGCGTGATGCTGTTTGTTGTCAGTGAAAATGGAGTTTAATGAAAGAGACTGAGGGTCGTAAATTCATTGCTTCACCAAGAGGTTGTGCTGTTTGTGGAAGTGTCAGATTTTCAGCTTTCCAACCGTCCTTGAACTGCTCATCTGGGATGCGCCGCTCAGTTGGGAAACTAAACCAAATCTGAGCTTAAAATCATGATATTTAGTTAGAATCCATTCATTCTACATGCCTCATTTAAACCATAAATATGCATTTACTCTATCCAGATTCTGTAAAAGAGCAACAGAGAACCATTGGTCTGCCACCAACAGTCATGTGACCAACCTTTTAGCCAATCCTGGGCTTTGAAGTCTTGATATTTAATCAAAGTGACTGTATTCTATAGGCCTCATTTAAAATATGCCAGGAATAAACTGTCTGCATTAACAAGGTTCTCTAAAAAAAGAAAAAAAACTGCACATTAAAGAAGCTGGTAATGACTCAGCAGCAACCAACAGTCACATAACGAAATCCACCAACCGTCTGGCGGAAATGGGTTGAACTGCAGGTGTGTCGAGCACATAGGAGCAAAATATCAATATTATGTAGAGATACGATTTGGCCAATATTGGGAAAACCAATGGGCACTACAGCTTGTTGGTTGATGTTGGTTCAGTGTAAAATGGGCCCACAGTGAGTAAAAACATTGTGACAGGAGCAGAAAATGCCCTCTGGGTTCAGAGTGTAACGTTTGCTCTAAGAAAAATAAGAAAAAATTCCAGCTAAACCTAGTAAAATAGTAGAGTTTGCAGATTGCAGTGACTTGAGAGTATAAGGGGGGAAAAAAAAGTCTCCCACACTCTGGATCCACTTACATTTTTCTTTTATTCTGATGACATATCAGCCCCTGAGGTCTTCTTCAAGATTTACAGCCAGACTATAGGACAAAGGCGCCGGTATGTTATATAGAAACCATCCCGGTAACACATCTGATGGTGATTAGATAATCCTGTTTCATCACTGGGGTTAGAAGAAGAAAAAAAAACAATTAAAAGACCTTCAGTGAATCAACTCTACAAAACAAACTCAGAATCAAACCTAGAAGAACTGTCTGGTCTCATAGCACATACCTTTAAACTGCGCTCGATCTGTTCCAGCTCTAGTTTTGATGATACCTCCTTTATCGATAGAACGTTTAGCTTTAAATTTACACATCAGGACAAGAAGATCTCAGCAGTTTATTTCACCTATATTTTGAGGGACAACTCTATCAGACAGTTAAATTGACTAAATCATCCATATTTGACACACAAAACTCATTAATCACTTCGTTAGTCGGTACGGTGCGGCAACGCTGTCATTTGTCACCGTCAGCTTTTCTTTTGCTTTTCTTTGGTTTCTGAGGTTGAGGAAGAACCTTCAAGGGAAATTCCAGCAGATGAATCAGTCGTTTCAAAGACGCTACTTATCGCGAAGAGTCTTATCCGATGGAAACATCACACAACGTGACCACACACACGAACACACCTCCTCACTGCGAGGAGCCAAAACAGCTCAACACCTTCGCACACATGTTGGTAATACTTCCTCGCTGTTCGACATGTCACGCCGTACATCATGTGAACACGCATTTGGCAGCTTTCGTGATTCTGTCACCGTTCCGCTGTGGAGCTAAAAGACTCCAGACCTGGACCCAAGTCAGATTTAAGTCACAAAAGTGAGGACTTAAGACTTCAGATTTTACTCCCCCGAAGTCTGAATTTGACTTGAGATTTCAAAGCGAGGTTTCGACCCAGGAATATCCCGGCATAATAACAGAATGACAGCGGAGAGGAGGCCCTGCGTCGCCGCTCAGCTGGAATATTTAAGTAAAGCTTGTGCGTTGAAAGGACACGGTCTCAGCTTTCTGAAGCGCAGCTTTGAAAAGAAAAAGTTTAATTGCTCTGTCATTTTCGTAGTCGGCACCGAGGGACCCGAGCGACTCGCCGTGGACTCGCCCTCGCGACTCGATTTGAGACGAGCCTCTGAGCTTATTTTACTTCATCCTCCATCAAAGAGGTTTAACTGAAGAAACGAGTAGAATTTTTTCCAAAGCTGGCATCAAATGCATCTCTGTTGTGGGAATACTGAAGGTTTTTCCACCATTAATCTGCCCGTTATGAGTGATTTATTGTCTGGTTTATAAGACATAATAAAACAGGGATGAATGCAATTGGCTACACGCAAGATGACATTATGGAGTCTTGTTTTGTCTGAGCAGCACCCCCGAGGAGAACAGCAAGTCCTCAAATCTGTGAACCTGGAACCATAGATGTTTTTATTTCCTTTAAAAAACTGACCTATTACTAATTATCACAACCAATTAATTTTCTTTGGATTGGCATATTGATTAACCGACTAATCATTGCAGCTTTTTATGTATTTGACAGATCCCAACGTTGTACAAATACAGCCTCAGCTCTGGGCGATTTTTTGATCCATTTTTATCCACTGTGGCCTCATTTTTTTTGCTGTAATATATAAAATGAACCTCCATAGAAACAGCACAACCATGACTAAAAGGAGAGGGAACTAAAAAAGATATGCAGTGCAGTATGACACAGTTATAATGCTGTTAATCATAAAAGAGACAAAGCGAAAGTTGAATTTTTTGACTTGTTTTACCAATATATATAATAATAATAAAAACAATGGAATCAACACATACAACATTTTTTCAAGTGCCTACACATGTTACCAACGCTGGGGGTAAAAAAACAGTGTCTCTACGTACTGTAAATAGTATGTACAGGTGCATAAATAAATATATATACACAGCCTGCAGTTCAGCCAAAAACTCTCTGAATTTTTGTCACATGACGGTTGCAACCGGCTTCACGAATGCACAGTTTTTAGTTTTTTTACAACCTTTGTTTTGAGCAAACTATTTATTTTTTTGGAGCAGGTTTGAAATGAGATGTAGAATAAAGTGATTTTTATTCATTTTAAGCTAGAAGTTTTCTGATGCAACAGCCTCCCACAGATGAGTAGTTCAAGGACTAGCTCTGGTTTTTACAGTTCCTCCTTTCACAAATGGCGTAATGTTGGTGATGTTTAACAACAACAAGCCTTTCAAACCCACCCGCGGGTTTGGGTGCTCGCAGCGGTTGAATGACTGGACAGAATTTGTGATTTCGGCAGGAATTCAGAACCAAGGTCTGTAGAAATTAGTTGGTGTAGTAAAGTAAATTGAATAGAAAATCACATTAACGTGTACTAAACAGGCTTTTCATTACTAAGGCTGCGGTTTTCCAAAGCTTTTGCCAGACGCACTAAACGGCTAACAGGAAGCAGTTAAGCAGGGTGATTATTTATTACAGTGAAAACCAAAGCAAGAGGTCGCATGCAGGGATTAGAGCGGCCGCTTTAATACAAAGGTGGACACATGAAAATGTATTCCTGAGAACAACAGTGTTTGAGCAAGTTCTGTTTTTGTTTTTTTTTATCTGAAATGTGCACTTGTGATGAATAAACGACGGCAAAATGAGCTCGTTATGCAAAACTGGCAGAATCTCGATGTGCTCATGTGAATTCCAACTGGCCGGTTAACCTGAGCGTGTCTGATTATGTCTAACGCTGTTCCTCCTCCTCTGTGTGTTTGCAGGAGTTCGGGGCAGCGCCGAGTGTTCGTGCGGGAAGAACCACTTCACGTGTGCGGTCAGCGCATTCGGGGAGTGTACCTGCATCCCGGCCCAGTGGCAGTGCGACGGAGACAACGACTGCGGGGACCACAGCGACGAGGACGGATGCAGTGAGTCCTGGTTTTAAATTTCCTCTACTGTGTCTTTTCGTTTTTGCACAATCACGAACAAAACAGCTGAGAAAAGAACATAAACTTGCTCTTAGTATAGCTGGTGTCCAGGATGCATTTGAAAGTATCCTGACTCACCACATGTAGACTGCGGGTAAAAGCCTGCCGTTAGCTGCTCACTTCAGGCAGGTTTGTCCTCCCTATTTGAGTGTTTTCAAAATCCACTTTGCTTTAAGAAACAATACCAGCAACCGAGCTAGCAAAATTACACACTGAAAGTTTCAAGTCCTGCTGAGGATTTGGATCGTGCAGGATGGCCGCCCTGCTACTTTAACCACAGTGCTCGTCTCCCTGCACGCAAATGTTCCACCAGAACAATGCCAAGATGACTGTGTTTGGCTTAAACAAATATAAACAAGCCAGTGCGTATATCAGACTGATAATGAAGCGCGTTTTGCACAACAGAACGGGCTGGGTGAGCAGAGCTAGCTTTGAAAGTGATGCTTGCCCACTTGGTGTCAGCTTTACTAAGAGACTGTAAAATAAACTTTTGTTGCTGATTTGTCCTCAGAGCTTAGAAGATATGTGATCTATCAGCTTTTAATTAAAGGTTATTTGGCACAAGTGATTAGATGTTAGGGGTCAAAGATGATCTTAAGGATAAGGGACACTCCTCGGAGGACAACAATGTCTACATTCTGGTCGGGGAGGACAGACGCTCTGAGAGAGGAATACACTGGAACAGCGAGCTCCAAACAGGAGTTACCATTTACTTATGATGCAGTTCCCTTCCACACCTTGAGTCATGTGTGTCAGCTTGGATTCATGTGAGCTGGAGGTGACCACTTGTCTTGTAAAATCAATAAATCAGGACTCCGGAAGGGAATTTGCCCGAAGTTAAGGATGATCTTTTTCAAATTTGGAGGTCAAAAGTCACCATAAGCTCACAAAACATTTTTCTGGACGTAATTCAAGAATGTATACGCAAATTATGACAGCATTCCACACAAATGTTTGATCGGATAAACGTGAAGATGTCGACGTAAACTGCAGCTCGTCCACAAAACGGTCCAACCACACAGCGGTTCTTCTAGCATATTTTGTACTTGACTAAATCAAACATGTTTTCTCATCAGCCGTTTATTTCATTAAGTAACTGAGTTCAAATGTTAAATGATCCATGAAGCAAGATTCCTGTCTAAAGATCTAAAATCTTAAACCTGATTAACAAAACAAGTACAATTATTACAAATATCTCCTGGGCGTTCTACATTAACTTGGAGCTTGTGAAGTTTGTGACACTCAGTGGTAAAGACATATTTTGGTTTGAGCCAAATTAACTGGATTTATTTTGTACTAAAGTCGTTTCTATTTCAAAGATTCGATGTAATATTAAATCAAGTTTCAAAGATGTTAGTTTAACCAGCTTGCCAGATGTAGTTGTAAAAAAAAAAAAAAAAAAGTAAATTGGCAGCTCTCCACTGCGTATTATGCATGATCCCCTTGAGCAAGGCATTAAAGTCCCACCGCTCAGCCAAGAATCTGATCGTTCTTGGCAGCGCCCCGGTGCAAATTTGCGCCTGACTTCTGAATTTCGCTATAAAGGTGCAAGTGTGCCGAGGCAGAGCTCTCCCGCATAAATAGTGAAGAACAGTACGAAAAAAAATATATATAATTGAGCTCATATGGATCCCATCATCACCCAGTGAAACAGGGAACGGGTCACTGGTCAGGCGGGGTAGTGTTTCTGAGCCTCTGCGTGGTGTGTTTGCCCCGTGCACAAAAAAATGCTCCAGTGACTTTTGGCACCGGACGAGGTTTGGCTGCAGGGGGAAGTCTTGGCAGCGGAGGCAGACAGGAGAGTTTTTTTTCCTGCAGAGCTTGTCAGTTTGTCGAGTGGGGGAGATCTTCGCCGCTTTTCTTTTACACTTGTGTGCATCCATGTCAAATGTCACCGTGAGGGTCCGAGCAGCAGATGCAGCTCTTTAGCTTGACGTGGTTGTGTCTGCGCGCCCGGGTTCTTTCTCCATCAGTCTTCCTCTGTCACATTAAGCTAGTTAGGGGGCGGGAGAGGGGATGCTAAGTGTTATTGATCTCCGGCCCAGTTGAATGTTCAGTGGGTCTGATCGCCACGCATCGATCGGCGGCGCGTTACTTATTTAAGGAGACACATGGAAGCAGCTGACAGATATCAGAGCATCTCGCCGGACCTTCCTAATCCATTAGTACTGTCTGATCGATCCTCCGCTCCGTCGCTCTCTTGGACTTACTCCAGTCGGTCTTGTAATCGCGGTGCTAATATCACACAGATTCATGATGTTATACTCGGATATTGTGACGTAAATGTGCTGTCCTGCTGCTGCATCAGCTGAACCAAAGTCTCACAACGTTTAGTAAAATGCTCAAGATGTAAATTTATAATTTCGACGGACATGAATTCTGCCTGTCGTTGGCACCCTGAAGCAATAAATCATCAAATCTTATGATACTTTATGATATCTGTAGCTTGTCCCTGTCTTTCACATGTGACAACTTCATGTTTGTTTTACTTTCATATGATTTTAGATTTAATATTTTGGGATTTTTGACAGTCGAATAAAACAAAAAAAACTGTATTTGAAGGTTTTAACTGTAGGAAACTGTGACAAATTGTATTTTATAACCTCTAAGGGATCTAAGGTGCCCCAAGATGATTAAATTGAGAACAGTTTTAATTAAATAAATGCTTGTTTTACAGAATTTTTCTTCTGCATTTTTTTTCTTACGGACACATTCACGTCTTCAGGCCTCTAATAATGTTCATGTTGAACTATTTATTCAAGAAAAGTCACTTTTGACCTGCTCGCAAATCACTTTCACGTTGCACACTATCTTTTCGCAGCGGTTTGTCGATATAGGTATTGATTTGTTTTAAGGGATCGTAGGCCAAAGAGGTCAGAAACTCTGTTATTGACTAACTTCATCACTGAGTCTTTTATTTATTTATACATTACGAAAAGCTCCACAGATCAGGCGAGGATGCATTCTGCCGAAAAAGTTCTTCAGTTACTCAAATGTCAAACATGTATTTGCAGTTCTAACTTCTTTTGATTGAAAACTGGCTAAAAGTTTCTTCCCCTTCTTGGATTTAGTCCTAACTGCAATATTCATTCTGTCAGGGAAGGAAAGATGTAATATTCACGTGTTTGCTTTTTGAAATTAAACGAAATTGCGCGCATGTGTTGGCTGAAAACCTTTCCGTGCTCGTGTGTCGCCGGGGAGAATCGAGGACCGCGTGACTCGGCTCGCGTCGCGCTGATCGAATCGGCTGAGTCGGATCGTGCAGCCGAGGGGTGAAGTTTTAGGGTTTTTAACTGCGTTTTCTAAACACGGCGAGAGAATTGATTGATTATGAAGGCACACTTTCATCGCGCCGCTTGCACAATTCAGCAGGATCAGGCAGACGTGCGTGACCGCGAGAATATTGAATCACAACGAACACACAGACACACGGTTGTGCTGAATCGTGGCTGCGCAGTTTGTGGCATCCAGACTGGGTTTGAAGTTTTAACGCATTTATCATTTATACCAATTTAACAATTTCCAGACAAAGTACAATTGTCCCGAGTCTCCCTGGAGGAATGTGCGCGGATGGAAACAGAGGCAGAGCGGCCGAGCGCGTCTATGAAGCTATCTGTGTAAACGTCTGATCTAATTACGACGTGGAAATCATGTGGAAATTGTGTAGTGCAGCTGTGGCCGTTCTGTGTGTGTGTCTGGAGCGGGTGTGTGTTGGTGTCTTGTGCTTACGTTCCCCTAGATAAAGTTTCATAGCCCCACAGAGACGGGGAGTGGGAGTGGAGAAGAGTTGACGAGGGACTACGAAGAGCATGTAAGACTTATCGCTGTGTGTGTGTGTGTGGAGCAGGAACTCTGTGTTACTGTGAAGGAGTTGCTGTTGTGTGAAGGTGAGGAGGAAATGGACTTTACAGCCACGGCTTCTCCTCTTCACCTCCCATAACATCCGCGTGTTTATACTGGACCACACTGGGTGGAAGGTTCTCTGCCGGCCCGTCGTAAATCTGTCCTTTTGAAAACAAAATCAAAGTTAAAGGTCCAAAGCGGCGTGTTTGCAGCGGGTTTAGCCGCCCCACTACCAATCCTATAATACCCATATTCCCACTGACAGTTTTTGGATGAATGCTATGAAGGTTTTTGGATCCGTTCTTCGTGCTGTTCCAGACGTCTATCGGTTTCCATCAGTTTCTGTTTCATATCTGTTGGTAGCAGTGATGTCCTGATATGGTCTCACCGGTTGGGACTGATTAGGGCATTTTTTAACTGATGGGTATCAGTTTTATTCAACAAACGTCCTTATCATCTTCTTCTTCTTCTTGTTCTTCTTCTTCTTCTTCTTCTTCTTCTTCTTCTTCTTCTTGCTCTTGTTCTTCTTGTTCTTGTTCTTCTTCTTGCTCTTGTTCTTGTTCTTGTTCTTCTTGTTCTTGTTCTTCTTCTTCTACTACTTCACCTCCTCCTCCTCCTCCTCCTCCTACGTCTTCTTCTACCACTTTTTCTTCTTTGTGTTCCTTTCAACTACTCCTTCTTCTCCTCCCGTTTCTTCCTCTTCATCTTTTTCTACTCCTCATAGTTCTACATCTTCCTGTTCTCCTCCTTGTCCTCCTCCTTCATCATCTTCTTCTTCTACTACTTCTTCTCCTCCTCCTGTTTCTTCCTCTTCATCTTTTTCTACTCCTCATAGTTCTACATCTTCTTCATCTTCGTGTTCTTCTACTATTTCTTCTTCTCCTCCTCCTGCCGTTGCGTCTTCTTCTTGTCTGTCCCACCAACCATGTCTCCCAAATCTCCATCAGGTTTTCTGAGGTATTTCTATCTCGAAGTTGTTCATCCAGTTTGTTCTTGGTCTACCTTCGGGCCTCCTCCAAATCAGATGTATCTATATTATACTCACTGGACGGCATCCAGGAGGCTGATAAGATGCTGTATATCTTTAGATGGCCCCT